TTTTGAACTTAAGCCTTCATATTTGCTACTCTCTTTTCTGATGCTATGGGAAAACTCAATAACATGACACAATTGAAATACTACTTTTAGATATTTACTGATAAGAGTGTGAAAGAAATAACAAAAACTGGCATAGAAGAGTGGAATGGAAAAATTGAATATGCCCAGGACTTTTAAGATACAGAATTCAATGCTAGTGCTTTAACATTTCTTTGGAGGTTGGTCACCTAATGAGCTTACTCAGCCAAGTCTACAGGCTGCTTCCTGGGAAGATGTCCCTCTTTTAAGGATAGTGCCACTCATCAAACACATCTGCCACTTAGCCCTCTGTCTCCATGACAAGGACTGCAACTAGGCTTTCTTTGTATTCTAAGCTGCACCTGCTCTGGGGCCTCTCACATAGTGGGTGCCCAGTTGGCCAGGGGAAGGGACGCCTGGGAGCGAGTCCCCTCTAAGGCAGGGACCTCCTGGGTGCCTGAGGAGGACAAACTCTTTGGTCCAAGCCAATTATGACACTATCTGATATGAGCTGACCATAAAGAGCTTACCTGTTTTGGTAAAGTAAGGATTAAGAAACTGTATATGAGAAAAGGAAATACTAACCAGAGGTAAAGCAAAACAAAACAAAACAGCAAAAATAAAAACAAAAACACCACTCCAGAAAAACTAGCACCCAGCATGGTTCCTTGAAGTTGATATGGCAGAAGTTTAAGAAAAGCATATGAATGGATAAAGCTGAGGAAAAACATACTACAAATTTCTGCTACCAGGGTCATTACTATCACTTAGTAAATTCTATTACTGTTTACAACACTTGCACCTGCTGGCCCCATGGTAATGTTTGGGAAGATCATTTAGAAATTCAAGGTTCAAATCTTTTTGGAGTGAGTCTTAAATATTCTTGTTTTGGGGCTCTTGCTAGTTTGCTGGCAAGGAGGGAAGCTAAGTCTGTCTTCATGTTGCAAGCATAGACACCTGCAAGACATTTTTTTCTTTAATAAAATAAAAAGTGGGAGCTTTCACAGCAAATGTTCTCCAAAGCTGGCTACCCTGGGCACATGGATGCTGTTATGTTACTCAGCCTCCTATGGCTGAGGGAGGGGGCTGAGTCACCGCCATGTCTGCAGCCTCACAGGAAAGCCGAGTGAGCGTAATTCTCATTCAACAGCAGCGACCTCCTGAGATTATGGGGATCATAAAGAAAATCAAATCAATATCCAATTCAGTGCCCTTTAAGAAATGTTGTAAAGACTTGAGAGGTGTGTAATGTTAAATAACATGCAGCAGGAAGCGCCTCAAAAACCCTCTTTCAAGGATTAGCTTTCTGTTATTAATACTGCGTTTATTTGCTGGGAGGTCAGCCTTTGAGTCGCTTTGGGTTGGTACTATGTCATTGCCCTTCTTGCCCTTTGGTCTTCCTGTTTGGATGTTCTGCTGTGTCATTTTCTGTCTGTGTCTGTTGTCAGCGGTGCTGCACTATGACCAGCCCAGGAAGTTTCTAAGATTCCTTTGCCTCCAATGTTACCAGTATAAAGACGTGGATGATTGCTATTTAATTGGTATTTTCTTTCTTCCTTGCTTAATTCCATTTTTTTTCTCAGAGTACAGGTCAGCAACAGCTAAGGACCTTCTGGGGGTACCGTATTTTGCAGTGTATAATGCTCACTCACATTTTTGGCCCAAACTTTTAGGGGAAAAGAAAATCCTTCGTTTTAATTAATTCAGTTTTTATTTATTTATATTTAGATACTTATTTCTTGCATTATAATGGAATTTCAGCATTTAGTTTTGAACATACAGATATTGTTACTGCTTTCTAGAGTTACATTTTTAACACATAGGCATGAAAAAAAGAATTAAAAACATAGATACGGAAATAGTACTACCCATGTGTATTGCGCATCCTCATTTTTCCCTTTAAAATTTGGACAAAAAGTGTGCATTACACACACAGCAAAATGCGGTAACTCTAGGGGCCAAGTTAGTTAATGTTAATCGAAAGGTGAACTGGGGCTGAAATAAGCGTGCTTTCTTTTAGGAGACTAGCCTAGGTGAAGTCCCACTGCAACCAAAGATTTCCAGTAAGGTATGAACTAGCAGAGGTCTTAGTTTAAGAACAATTAAATATAGCTAATGCAAATGTCAAGAGATTTTGAGTACTCTCTAAAATTTTGAAGGCATACGACCCAGTCCTTTAGTTGGCAGGACAGTGAGCTAGGGATATAAAACAGCTCCAGATCCAAGGGTGGGGGAGAGGTGTTCAGTTTGCTCACACTGAGGCCCACATGCCCGCAGGTGACTCACCTCTGTTGTTTTTTTGGCTCCAATATCTTTTTATTTTCTATAGGAAAGAATCTGGCTCTGTGGCACTGTTTCCCTTCGGCTTCCTATTCCACACTCTCCACAGAGGCTGCATTATCCTGTCTTAGTGTAACTGGTTCTTTCCTCTTTGCCTTTGTTGCATGCTTGTCTCATGTCCTTAACAGCAGACATACTAGCCTGTGCTCAGTACATCTCTGCAGTTTAAAGTGACTAGGAATTTAGGACAGCAGATTTTTCTGCTACCCAAGAATCTCAGTCCTTATTAGGCAGCTAAGTGAATCTTAGTATCTATACTTAACAATTCAGAATTTTATCTTTGAATTAGTATTAGGCAGTAGGATGGTTTTCAAGGGGTAATAAATATTTTCTTAAATTGAATTATGACTAAGATATATACGTTTATATATCTTTTATATCATAGCATTATTTTTTAAAGGATATCTTCATGGGACTATAAGACTGTACCAATATCTCTTTCAAGTAGGTAATTTTGGTACATGAGTATTTTCTTTTGCAAAAATGAATACGCAGTTCTGGATTCTTCCAACTAATATAATATTCAGACTTGATATGAAACTCATCAAAACAAAAATAAATAAAATATTTAATAAAATTTCTGGTATGTATAAGCAAATCAAAGCAATAAAAGAGGTAACACTTTATTTTAATGGTAAACTTTCATGCTAACTTAATAGAATAATGGAAAAGTAATATAAACTCATTTTCATATAAAATCTTTCTATTTAATCAACATATTAATACACAAAGAAAAGTGTCTTTCAATTGTCTGCCCCTTTGTTGCTCTTTTTATTTTGCAATATTCTGTTTTAGTGTGAGAGCTCTGACCGCCTACATACAAAAGTCAGCCTTTACATGTCTCAGAACAGTGCTTATGGACAATCAGTTTTGTTGATAAAAAACATTTTAAATACCATTGGTGTGATGAAGAGAGCATGTGGGGGAAAAAAAGAGGGCTGAGGCACACAACCTCTTTTCCGAAAATTTCAATTAATCTCACGTCACAAAAATGAGTTATAAAGTGGAGGGACTGAGAGAACTCTGCGTGACATACCACCTGGACAGGTATTGTTGCATTCTACCTTTTGTTTATCCCACTACAGGTCCTCAATGTGCGACATATAGTTAAAACAAACACTTCTTGACATAATCTCATTCTGGTATTGTGAAGCTATGGTTACTTTAGTAGCATTAGCCAAACTTTATATAAACTATATGGCAACATGGAAACATGAGTATGACAGACAGGAAAACTGTATTGTGATTTAAAGAAAATTCGAAATATTTTGGCGACTAAACATTTTTTTTTTCCATTTTAAAATAACCCTCAAATGAAAAAACAATTGTGAAATGTGCACTAAGACAATTTGGCTCATGGTCTAAGCTCATCTACTTGTAAGATGTTTAAATAATATTGTATTTGTGGTAAGATGGTAAATTATGAATGAAAACTTTATTGCTTAAATTAAATTTGGGAGATAAAGAAAAATGATTACATGAGGCCTTTTACTGGGGACCTAGTGGCAGGATGAGCTGAAATAAAGCCTCTGATTTTGAAAGGTTAGACAAAACTTGTTAATCGTTTATTATTTTCTTGGAAGAGAAAGGTTGTATGTTGGTTTTGGGAAGTAAACTCAGATTACTCAAATATAAAACTAACTTTAGGTTTCACATGTTGGTAAGAAACGTTAATTTGACATTAAAAGATTCCTTTCCTTGAAAAATGATGAACTAGCTAAATATTTTTCATAAAGCCTCTTTAGTGATTCAAAATAGAAAAATGTAGTGAGATTCAGACCACCTGGGCACCTCCCAGCCCTCCACATTCATAATTTAAGGAATTGCAACAGCACTGTATGGGAGTGATAAATGTAATGCTTAAAAAAATCCATTAACAACAAAGATTTGTGACCTGGCTTAATTACATTCAGACCAGAGGCAATTTTGGTTACAACTGTTTTCTTACTAAACAAGTCAAAGGATTTTGTGCAAATCTGGTCTTCTTTTCCTGCATCAACTCGCAAATTCAGAACAGTATTTGTGTGCTTTTTGGGTATGGATTAACTTCCTAAAGTACATAATTCAACAATTATCAGGACAGAAAGGATGAATAAATTATACTTTAAGTGCAAGAAAATTAACAGTAAAAAATGGTTTGCATAAGTTCTTTTTGATGCATGTGCCTATATTAGATTTAATATTCTATTCAATTGATATGATCCTGAAAGACTCTCAGTGAGTTATTAATCCTGAACTAGACCACTGCCTGCTTTGGGACAAAGAATAAAATAGAATTTAAATGCTGCAGATGTCATGATGTTTTGAAAAGCATCTTTAATTTAAGCACAGAGTTATGATGTGAATTGTAAATTCTGACAGCTGGGATGAATGAAATATCAATGCCATGTTCCTTCTTTAAACCAGAATGCAAAGATTAAGCCTCAGGTCTTGTTTACGAAATTAAAGCCAAAACCATCATTCTCTCTCCTTGCTGAGAGCTTAGCAGTGATGCTGCTAAGTGATGGGAGGCTGGTTTTATAAACAAAGAATATTATAGAAAGGTTCATCTAGAAATACTGACAAAGAATAGAAATATTGCTATCTTAGTCTTACATTTGAAGGCTAGCGAGGGCCTGAAGACCACAGCACTTATTTTAATTCATGAGACTGTGCTCTGATTTACCACAGTATATGCCATCAAAAGAAAGTTCCATTTATTTACAATATTTGACAGAAATGAAAACAGTGCTGATTAAAAAAATTGCTTTGAATATTGCAGTATGTTTTTGAGGGCATGTTTATTATGCTTTCAATTTAGTCTGAGTGTAGTAATCATTAATGTGTACAAAACTTTCAAGGAGATTGAAATGATAGACACAAGCTATTTTTCTCTTCAGTGTTATCCTTTCTGCTTTTCGGAGAACTGAGTGTGAGTCCTGTGCAATGATATTCACAGGCAGCACACAGCTGCAGAGGGCAGGAGGAGTTTTCTATCCTGTAAGCTCTTTCAAGAAACAAAGACCCAAATAATCACTAAGGTGCTATTTATCTGGACACACGCCTGAGCACTTATTAAAAGCTCCCAAGGCACATTTACCCCTGAGCATGACCATCTCTTCCACACACATTTATCCTGAGAGGCAACTATATACAGAACATGTGGTAAGCTCCCTGGACGCAGCAAAGATTTAGCTCAACAGAATCCTAGATCTGACTGTTGCGTATTCATATGAAGCATCTCCAGAACGGTGCTTGCACACCTGTCGGCCAAGGATGAGAATTTCCTGGTAGCAGTGGAAGGGTAACAAAGGGGGAAAGTGGAAATAGGAGAGCTGTCTTATAGCTTTTCCTCAGTAGTGTCCATTTATCTTCTTAACTATTTACTCCCTTCCCACCTGCCTTGCTTCGCGGTGGTGTGCGCGCTCAGGTGCCCGTTGTTTCTGAACTGGGGTCGCGGAAATCTGACAGCTCGGCAGACTGGTACCAGCAAAGGGCGTTAGTTCTGCGATGCCCCCTCTGAGGTGAAGGTACTTCACCAAGTGTATGCTGTTGGTTCTGTGGACTTGTGCTTTGCAGTTTCTCTAAAAGAATTTTTTGTTGCCATTAAGTAGGCTTTTTCTATGAACTCCTGAAAAGCATTTCTTAGAGCCTGTTTCGTGAATCCAAACCATAAAATAAAAAAGATGCGTGTGTATGCTTGCAAAGGCATAACTTAGGAAGACACGTGATGTTTTCCTTCTCCTCTCTGACCTCCTCTCCTCCAGCCCCGCCCCTGCCGCAGCTCTCTAACACACCCTTAAAAGCTGCGGCAGCAGCGCTAGCGTGTGCAGTCTGAGGCATCTCATGCACAGCTTTCTGATGCCCAAACAGAGGAGGGAAACAACCACCTCACTAAGAATGCAGGAGTGTGATGATTCTTACACTGCACTTATTTCTGGCAATAAAGAAAACCCCTAGGAGGGCCAAATAATTCCCAATACAAAGGGGTGTTTACAAATATAGACTTGCCTTGGCAGAGCGGAGAGCCAGTTTCAGCTGGCAGGTGTCCTGCAAACATGGCATTGCCACGGCAGTTACAGCACCGAGTGAGTCGGGTCTGAGGCACAGGACAGCAGCTGTGAAAGGTGCTGCTGACGTAGAAAAGCTTGACAAGCATCATGGTCTTGGTGGGAAAAAGAGCTGTTCTCCCTCACATTAGAGCCTGTGCTTTTTCTATTTACAGTGGCCTGAAATGGCAGGATTGCTGCGGTGAGCTAATAAAGCCCTTGGTAGAACTGTCTGTTTCTTGAATGCATTTGCCTTTGCCTTTTTTAAAAAGTGGCACTTATTTAAAAAAACAGTTAATAAAAAATATAACCTTAGCAGACTGTTGCAGGTAACGTGGTATAAACTTATTGTTAATGCGAAGAACAGTATTATTCTGCTGGAGGACCGAGTCCCAAAGGCTGTGTTTGGCACTGTCCCATCACTATGTGATCTTCTTCTTGATGACAGTGAGCTCTTTCTGAAGGTCACTGAATTTGGGGCGGTTTTCAGGTTTATAATCCCAACACTTCATCATAAGTTTAAAGATTTCCTCCGGACAGTGCTGAGGGGCTGACATCCGGTATCCTGGGGACCCAAGACAAGAACAACAGAATTTAGAATGGAGACAAGGTATAAATGCTCATGCAGGGCATTAAGCAGTTTGTAAATTTAGTACCTTATGTTGTAGGAATAATTGAAACAAAAACCCTATAAAGCAAACTGGTTTTTTTCCTACAAGTAAGCCAGAATTCAATATTACAAAGCCAAAGAATTACCTTCTAGTTCAGAACTCACATTTTGTTTGTTTATTGCAAAGTCTTATATAAGATGCCTCACATACAAATGCATATTTTATTTGCTCCAAGTATTTGCTTTTAGATGCTGTAGGCAGAGTTGTTTTTTTTTTTTTTTTAAATCATCGATACTACCAGGTTTTGGAGATGAAGAAAGGGTGAGGATTTAATAAACACAGGTTCAAAAGCAAAATAAAAATGATTGAGTTATATTCCTTTACAGTTCGAGAAGAATCTTTAATTCCAGGTTACTGGGTGGTGTCCCCACAGCATGCTGGTCAGCTGCTTGTGTGTTTGCCTTAGGAAGTAAAGTGTCCGTTTGAGGTGAGATAAGGCAGGCACGAAGCTACAGCCACCCTCTTACACCCCATCCTGCAGCCTGGCCCTCCTGAGCAACCTGAGGCTAAGGCATTGCCATTTTGTCAAAAGCATTCCTTCTGTTGAAAGCTGTGGACCACACAAACATACGCTCAGTGTCACCTTCACCTACACATTCCTCTCTCTGATCTGGGAACACCACAGAACTTCTTCAGAAGTTCCACAAAGTTCTCAATAACTTCCCGAAGTCTAACCACATTTCAATTTGCAGTAATATTAATGGTGTTTATCTGTCATTCTATAAAAAAACAGGAGCTTGTGGAACACTGTCCTGTTTCCCTTGAAGGGACAGAATGGTTTCCCTTGCAGGAGGAGAGAACAGCCTAGAGCTCTCTATTTTCAAAGCAAAAAGTTTGTCGTTAGGTAAGAGCCATACTATCCATGGGGTTCAGAAACAGATGTATACACACCTCAGCCCCTTCTACAGACTCACACAGTGTGCACCCTCCTCCTCGCCCCAGAAAAGCCACAGGCACACCAGAGCACTGCCCATCGGCACCCCGTGTCTTTGGCTCACCTCTTTCCACCTGCTCACGCGCTTGCTGATTTGTCATTCCAGGGTACGGGCAGACCCCGAGACTGAAGGTCTCCCAGAGGAGGATGCCAAAGCTCCACACGTCACTCTCCGAACTGTATCTCCCTGGAGGAGCACACGAACCACAGCCCGGTGAGAGGAGAAGCAGGTGACCGTTTTTGGCTATGCATTTCTATGTCAGTCACATAGCTTCATATTAAACTTACCAAAGGACCTTTAAAACCAGTGATCCTATTCCCTTCACAGGTTTTACTCTCCAAGACTAGCAATATTACCAAACAAATGAACAGTCTTCAGGCTGCTAGTTTAACCAAAATAGCTTTCAAATCACTTTTTCCCCCACCAAGAACAAATATTCAGCTGGCATATAAGCTTATTGTCCCTGTGGTATCTATTTGAAATGAACAGTATATATATAAAAAGACATGAATTTGTATACATCAATGCCTAGGAGAATAAGTTAGGTTTCTGCAATTTTGTCTTCTACCTGCATCATTTTTATTCCACTAAAATTAAAAATGAACTTAAAGCAATAAGGAAAGTTTCTTAGATTTTTTTATGCAAAAAGGAAAGTTTCTTAGCTTAAATTTTTTACTCATCATTGTTTACAGATATTCTTATTTGCTTAAGGGCCTTGTTTTCTCCACTGATAGTTTCACTTACGGAAAATATTTTTTGTATGTGTTTTGAATAGAGTACAAATGAACAGGGCTGGCTGATAAAAACAACTTCTTTAAATTACATGGAGCCTTGTTTTGTCAAAATATCTTGGCGCACCTGTTTTACTAGTCTACATAAGCTAAGGTCTTTGGATATTTTTTTATAGTCTTCTAGAGAAGCATAGACGTACAAGCCAGCACAAAGTACCTTCTGGAGGTGGATGTGAAATCACGGAGGCAAAGCAGAAAAGTTTTTTCCAAAAACAAGAGGTAAGACTTCCCAAGATTTTCCCAACATATTTGTATATTTTTACATATAGGGCATAAACTATCATAAGTAAGTCCCATTTGCAGTGGAGTTAAAGGATTCCAAAACGATTTCATTTCTACCTCCTTGTAGCTACCTGCCTGAACTCTTCCACTCCAGGATTTATGAATGCCTCTCCTTTAAAATCATCTTGTTATTTAAGGTAGGATGGCCTTTTCACCTTCTTGAAAAAAAAAAAAAATGAGAACCAGAGTGTGCCTACACTATGAAAACTGCTTCAATGCCAGAGTTTGAAGTCTGCTTACTAATTATCATCTCCAGCTGCTTAAACTAGCTTCCCTCTTAGTAGACAGTAATTATGTACAGTTGCTATGATATTCAGTAGGAAGATTAGTTTTCTTGTCTGCATATCAACTGTTTTTCATGTTTAGCATCCAATAATTTAGCACTTTTCATGAAAGTCATTCAATGGCTACAGTTAATACTAATTCTTCAAGATAGTACAAGGAATACAGAGTCAAATATCTTCTCTTTGTAAAATAGTATCTGGGCAGATATCAAGAGAGGCATGTTTTATATAAACCACCACTCCAGAATTAAAAGCTTATAACATAACTCTATGAATTTGACCTTTGAAGCTGGTTTTGATGGGTACTTTTAAAAAATTTATTTTAAATCTTTTACATATTTGTTATTGAGGAATAATTTATATTTGTTTCAGGTATACAACATAATTCGATATTTGTATATATTGCAAAATGATTACCACAAATATGTAAATATCTATCACCATACAGTCATATATATTTTCTTTTGATGAGAACTTTTAACATCTACTCTCATAGAAACATTCAGATAATCAATACAGTATTAACTATAATCATGATGCTATACATAACATCCCCATAACATTTTATATATATAACTGGCAGTTTGTACCCTTGACCCACTTTGTCCATTCTGTTCATCCTGAAACCCCATCTGTGGTCACCACCAATGTATTCTCTGTATCCAGGGATTTGTTTTTTTTTGTTTGTTTGTTTTTGTGTGTGTACTTTTTAAGGTTCCACACCTATGGTATTTGTTATCTGTCTGATTTAGGCACCCAACATCCATCCATGTTGTGGCAAATGGCAAGATTTCATTCCTTTTAATGGCTAAATAGTATCCCATTGTATATTTTTTACCAAATTTTCTTTATCCACTTACGGAAACAATCTGATTGTTCATCAATACATATCTTGGCTATTATAAATAATGCTACAATGAACATGGGGGGATAATATCTTTTCAAAATAGTGATATTTATTTCCTTCAGATACATACCCAGAAGTGGAATTGCTGGATTATATGGTACTTCTAGTTTTAATTTTTAAAACAAATCTCCATACCATCTTACACATGGCTGCACCAATTTACATTTCCACCAAAAGTGCTCAAAAGTTCCCTTTTTTTCACATCCTAAGCAAAATTTGTCTTATTTTTGATAACATCCTTTCTAACAGATGCGAGGTAATATTTAATTGTTGTTTTGATTTCATTTACCTGATGATTAGTGACACTGAGCGTCTTTTTATGTACCTGTTGGCCACCTGTACAGTTTTCTCTTTAGGAAAATGTTGATTCAGATCTTCTACCCATTTTCTTTTTTGCTACTGGGTTGTAAGAGTCCTTTATATATTTTGGATATAACTCCTTGTCAAATACACAATTTGCAAATATATTCTCCCATTCAGTATGTTACACCATACCATTTTGTTGATGGTTTCTTTTGCTGTGCAAAAGCATTTTAACTTGAGGTACTCCTACTTGTTTATATTTGCTTTTGGTATCAGGTCCAAAAAAGTCATTGCCATGACTTATGTCAGGATTACTGCCTATTTTTTCTTCCAAAAGTTTCATGGTTTTCTAAAATGCAAGTCTTTAATTCATTTTAAGTTAATTTTTGTGTATGGTGTAAGACACCCAACACTATTTGTTGATGAGACTGTTTTTTGTCTATTGTTTGTCTATTGTATATTCTTGGCCCCTCTGTCATCAATTAATTGACTATGTAGGCATGGCTTTATTTCTGTGCTCTCTATTCTGTTCCATTAATCTATGTGTCTGTTTTTATGCAACACCATACTGTTTTCATTGCTATGGTTTTGTAGTATAGTTCGAAGTCAGGGACTGATGCCTCCTGTTTCGTTGTTCTTTCTTAAGACTGATTGGCAATTTGGGGTCTCTTGGGGGTCCCATACACATTTTAGAATTGTTTTCTCTACTTCTGTGAGAAATGCCATTGGAATTTTGATAGGAATTACACTGAATCTGTAGATTGTTAAAATGACCTATTACCTATAGCAATCTATGATCTTCAATTTCTTTAATCAATGTTGTATATAGTTTTCAGTGTACAGGTCTTTCAACTCCTTGGTTAAATTTATTCCTAGGTATTTTATCCTTTTTTAATGCAATTGTAAATAAGATTTTCTTTATTTCTCTTTCTGGTAGTTTATTACTTGTATCTAGAAATACAACAGATATTCATATATTGATTTTATATCCTGAAACTTTACTGAACTCATTGATTAGTTCTAACAGTTTCCTGGTGAAGTCTTTGTATGCAAATACTAACAATTTTATCGCTTTCTGATTTGGTTTCTTTGTCTTGCTTAACTGCCATGGCAAGGAGTTCCAGTACTATGTTAAATAAAAGTAGCAGAAGTGGGCATCCTTCTCTTGATCCTGCTTTTAGAGAAAAAGCTTTTGGCTTTTCATTATTGAATGATAGTAGCAGTGGGTCTGTCCAATCTGGCCTTTATTATGTTGAGGTAAGTTCCCTCTATCCCATCTTATGGAGAGTTTTTATCATAGATAGGTGTTGAATTTTGCCAAAAGCTTTTCCCAAATCTATTGAGATAATCATATGAATTTTATTCTTTTGTTAATGTGGTGAACAACCGTGATTGATTTGTGGGTACTGCACCATTGTTGCATCCTGTGTTTTCATTTAATCATGGTGTATGGTTCTTTTGATGTATTACTGAATTCAGTTTACTAATATTCTGTTGAGGATTTCTGCATCTAGGTCTATCAGTGATATTGGCCTGTAATTGTCTTTTCTTGTGGCATCCTGTCAACACGGTTAAAATAATGCTGGCCTTGAGAAATGAATCTGCAAGTACTCTCTCCTCTTCTGTTTTTTGGAAGAGTCTGAGGAAAATTGGTTTTCTTCTTTATATTCACCAGTGAAACTGTCTGGTACCTGACTTGTTTTTTGGCAGATTTTTGATTACTTGTAAAATTGAATCAATAATGGTGTGATCAGATTTTCTAATTCTTCATGATTCAGTCTTAGCAATTCCAAGAAACAGAGGACTTACCAAGAATAAACCAGGAATCTTAACAGACCAGTTATTAGCAAGAAACCTAAAGCAGTATTAACAAAACTCCCAACAAACACAATCCCATGACCAGATGGCTTCCCAGGTGAATTCTACCAAACATTTAAAGTAGAATCAGTACCTGTCCAAACAGTCAAACAGGAAGAAATGGTTCCAAACTCATTCTACGAGGCCAGCCAAACCCTGATACCAAAACCAGAAAAAGACACTACAAAGTAAAATAATTATAGGCCCAAATTCCTGATGAGCATAGATGCCAAAATTCTCAACAAAATACTAGCAAACTGAATTTAATAGTACATTAAAAGGGTTATACACCATGATTAAGTGGGATTTATACCAGGATGCAAGGACAGTTCAACATCTACAAAATAATTAATGTGATTTATCACATTAACCAAACTGAGGATAAAAATCATGTGATTATTTCAATAGACACAGAAAAAGCATTTGACAAAATTCAACATCTATGATAACTTTCAATGAAGAAGGTAGAATACTTACTTCAACTTAAGACTGTATATGGCAAACCCACAACTAACAACATACTCAATGGTGAAAAACTAAAAGCTTTCCCTCTAAGATCAGGAACAAGACAAGAATACCCACTCTCACTACTGTTATTCAATATAGTTCTAGAAGTCCTAGCCACAGCATCAGACAAGAAAAAAAAAAAAGCACTCCAATTGTAAAGGAAGAAGTAACAATGTCACTGTTTGCAGATGATATGATTGTATGCATTGAAAACCCTAAGGAATTGACCACAAATTAATAAAATTATAAAAGAAT